ATATAACTTGTGGCATTTAAAAAAAAAAAAAAAGCAGATTTGAAGTGAGAAGTTGAAGTGAGGTCAGCGGCTGGCAGGGGAGAGGTGGTGGAAGTGGAGTGGGAGCCTGTGTCCCTCCTACAGGGCCTGAGGCTGCGGGCGAGGCCTGGTATACCCCCACACATTTTACACATCCCTGTGACCCAGACTGAACCAGAGAGAGCGAAAAATCATTTTCTCACTTAGGAGCCAATAGCAGAAAGACCCGTCGTTTAAACAAGAGTTTATTTTCAGGACTGTTTTTACTATAGATTAAAATTTAATATAATTTAATTCACATATAAAGACGACTCTCGAGACTACGTGGGTATGCTAACGACCTGGGTTGGGGAGGGGGCTGCGGTCACACTCAGGCCTGCGCGGACACCAGCTTGCTCATGCCTGAGAAAAAAGATTTCTCTCTTTCACTCATCACTTCGAAATGCAGAGGCCTCCTGCAGAAGTTGCACTCGGCCGAGGAATGCGGCTTCAGCTCCAGCCCCACTCGCTTCCACGTGGCCAGCAGATTCTCTGTAAGGAGAAACCACTTTCATCAGTCAGAGCAAGTACTTAGCCTAGAGGAGGGGAAACACACGGCCACGCAAAAACGTGCACACGGGCGTTCACGGCAGCAGGAGTCACTCAGAAAGAGGAAACCCCCAGGTGCCCATCAACTGCTGGGTAAACAAAAATAGTACAATTGTGCAACGTGGGGCCGGCATGTGATGCAGTGGTTAAGGGCGCTGGACTCCCACACGGCCAACCACAGTTTGAGCCCCAGACCTGGTGGCTTGCTTTCTCACTCCCCACCCCACCCCAGCTCTGTCCCTCTCTGGTCAGATTCAAATACATACATACAGTTAAATAAAATAATTTAAACGTTTTTTTAAAAATACTGCAATGGAAGAGTATTTACTAAGTAAACAAAAGGCTGTGACTAATGCTACAACGTGGGTGAACCCTGGAAACAGGCTGTGAGGCAGCTAGGCACACAGGGCCACACGAGGCTTGGTTCCACACACATGGAATGCCCAGAACGCGCAAAGCCACAGAGACAAAAAGATCAGTGGGTAAGAGGGGCTGGGGAAGCAGGAAATGGGGAGTGATGCCAATGGGTATGGAATGATGAAAACGTTCTGGAACCAGGACACTGCTCCACCTCGGGAGGGCTCAGTACCGTGGGGATAGGTGCCACCTGTGGCTTAAGCCCTCTCATCTCTGGGAGATAGATCAGCCAGAAAGGGTGAGCATCTGCCCTGCTCATAGGGGCTGGGGTGTGGTTCAAGCACCCTCAGGTGCTTTCCTCGTAAAAGCAAGCACATGTGAACGCCACGACAGGCTTCCGTGACGGAGGCAGCTCTGTACAGCACCCCGGCCCTCACCCAGGAAGTAGTTCATCATCTGGGGCGTGTGGTGAGGGGTCGGGGCGATCCGCAGGAGCTCTTCTCCCCGGGGCACCGTGGGGTAATTGATTGCTTGGACGTAGATGTTGTGTCTGCTCATGAGTTCATCACAGATCTCGGTGTTTTTAGCAGCATCTGCGACCTGAGTTAGATGGTGACAAGGGAGGGGCAGAAGGGGACAGATCTTTAGAATCGTTGGCAGAGTCCAGTAGACACAGTGCCCGAAAGGCTCAGGCTCAAACCGGACTGGAGAAGTATGCGCGAGCTCGCAGGAGGGGACCGCGCTGCCTACACACGCCCTGGCTCTGACCATGTGATCGAGTGGGGCTGGCACGGCTGGGTGAGGCCCAGAGAACAAAGCCCATGGGGTGACTTTCTGAGGCTCTGCCTCCCAGAGCTGGCCAGGCGAGGGCAGCTGCTGTTCCCACCGGCTGGCCGCAGATGCAGGATGTGAGCAGCCTCGCTATACTACCCCCATTAACAACACCAACTCAACTGTGACGCCGACAGGGCTGCCACTGCAGAGGGAAGGGCAAGACTTATTTCGAAATTAAATAAACAGAAAGACCCACTTCAAAGCTGGCCAAGCTCAGGCTTCTGGAACTTTTCAGACACAAGTCCTGTGTTTACCCTGTTAAGGTCAGGACTCTGCTCCAGCCCGCTGGGTTCAAAGGTTCCACTGTCACTGTGCAGTCAGCCAAAGGCAGAACCTACTGGAGATTGTGGGTCACGGGCCCTAGTCTCCTGCCCCCGGCCACTGTGGATTCTAGCCTCCTGCCCCCGGCCACCACGCCTCTTGCCCCTGGCCACTATGGGCTCTAGCCTCCTGCCCCCGGCCACCGTGGGTTCTAGCCTCCTGCCTCTGGCCACTGTGGGCCCTAGCCTCCTGCCCCTAGCCTGACTTCAGGAAGGTGGGAATCAGAACGCCGGCTCATCAGCCCTGGCCAGTGCGGTTAGGTCATTACCCGCACTGGGATGATGTGGCTGGGGCAGTGGACGACTGGGAGGCCGGCGTCCATCAGCATCTGCCTCATGAGCTTGACGTTGCGCTGGTGCTGGCGGCGAAGCGCGCGGCCCTCGGCGCTCTTCAGGATTCGCACGGACTCCAGGGCTCCAGCCAGCAGCATGGGGGGCAGGGAGGTGGTGAAGATGAAGCCGGCGGCGTAGGAGCGCACGGTGTCGATCAGGGCACTAGTGCTGGCGATGTAGCCTCCAACGCAGCCGAAGGCCTTGCCTGGGAGGAGACAGCCTCGTTGTTACACATGCAGCGACGTGCTGTGGAGCCTCAAAGCAGACTTTTCTCCTTACTGCCTCAATTCATCCCAAGACCAACAGAGGAAAAGGGATGCCCCCCATTTATGGAAGAGAAAAAGCTGAAGAGGGTTATGAAAAGGTGTTGCCCAAAGTCACCGTCTCTCTGACCGGGATCAAAGCGTGGACGGTCAGACTCAGCCTGGCCCCCCGGTGACTGGTCCCAGTGTGCCCGACGGGCCGTGGCCTCTCTTCCCACGATCTTATTCTCCCCTGCCTTTCCCACCCCGGCTCTGACCATGACCGTACTGCTTGCACCATCCTCTCCCGAGACCTCACCCCGAGCTGGAACACGACCCCGCTAAGGCATTAACTGTTCTGTGTGACCGGTGTTACTTCCTACTCAAGTAAACGCACCACTCTGACCACTGAGCACCTGCAGGAGAAATACGAGAACTCGGAACCTGTTAGGGTTGATCTGGGGCAAGACTTGTTTTTCAGTTCTCATTAAATCCCTTTGTATAATCTGTATCTCAAGTTCCAGGATTAAGGGCTTCAGAAGAGTCCTCGTAGAGCTTAACATTATGTTCTGTAATTAACATTTCTGCTGGGACCGCCGGTGGGCTGGGCGGCTCAAATTCCAGCAGAGGAAACCCGCTCTCCAGCCTGGTCCACCTCACAACGACCACACCTTCCAGGGGCCCATGTCAGAGAGCTCCTTCAAAGCAAAGAGCTACTGGAATGAGAACCTGGGTGAGCACTTACTCCCAGCAGGGCTCCACCCCGAGCAGCCCCAGGCCTCCCGTCTATACCAGGCTCCCACACCCCAAAGGTGCTCCTTTTTGCCTGCCCGTCCTTCACCAAGTATAGGCTGTAAATGGCATTTCTTGGGCTCCAACTGCCTTACTAACCTTCCAAGGTTTGAGAAGAGCCTCACATGTACACGGTGGACACTTTCACCTCATTTTTCTCCTCCACGCACATTCTGAGTCAGGTTCTATTATCGTCTCCATTACATGGATGAGGAAACCGAAGCACACGGAGGTTGCTACCTACCCAAGGTCACTTGCTAGCGTGCCAAGCAGCCAGGACCTAAACCCAGAGAGCAAGGCTCTGGCGCCGAGCTCCAGCTGCAAGGGGACGCTGCCTCTGTGTAAGGGTGGAGAGGGGAGCCAGGGAGCCCCACGCTCCCACATGGCGGGTTCACGGGGACAGAGCTCAGCGTGTCACGCCAGCTGCGCCTAACAACTGCTCTAGGAGAAAACACGAGAATTCTTTTTCTTTTCAATTTAGTGGAACAATCCGAGACACAGAGAGGAGGGCTCTGGCCGTGACGTGTAGCTAGAGGCAGAGGCAGGTTTGGAATGAGTGCAGACGGCAGAAGGTGCTGTTTCTGTGTGTCTGGCTGTGAGCTGTCCTTTGACTCCGAAAGCTGTGCCTCTGTGACCCAAGGGAGTTTACTAGGCTGTGTCACCACCTGCCGAGACAAAAAGCTCACCCAAAAGAGTGGCCCAGACTCTATATGCTGTCACTGTCACACCGTCTGCGCCTGATCCCGGTTACGCTAGCGAGTTCCCAGGGCCCGGGAGGATCGCAGATGACAGAACATGTGAGGGACACGCACCGAGTGTTCCCGAAATGATGTCCATCTTCGGCATGACTCCATCTCGATCCCCAATCCCTCCACCTTGAGCTCCGTACAGCCCCACCGCGTGGACCTCGTCCACGAAGGTGATCGCTCCAAACTCATGGGCCACGTCGCACAGCTCTTCCAGCGGGCACACTGCCCCTGAGGGAAGACAGAGACCACTCTCAAGAGCTCGCCGTTCCAGGCATTTCTGTTTTTGCTGACAGTCAGAACAAAATAACATACGTACTGGCTTTTTTAATTTCATTTTTTCCCCTTTAGTTTGCTATGAGATGCGTGTGTTCACCAGGGTGTGAGAGATAAAGTGAAAAATCACCCCCAGACGCATGCCACACCGCAATCCCTTCTCCTCTCGGGATTTTGGACATGCACACACATGTGCCCAGTGTGATTCTCAAGCCACCCAGTCCGGGACCGGAACCGCAGTCGGCCACGTGGGATCCGGCCATCCCAACCTCCATGCCACCTCCTGACTCCTTAACGTATTGTTTTTAATACTGGGATGAAAATGAACTTCCCTCAATTTCTAGGAGTCTTAGAGCCTAGCAAAAGCCAGAGTGGAAAAATCTACATGACCCAAACCTACATAATGTCGCCAGTTACAAAATCCCAGCAGAGAGTGAAAAGAAAATAAAACGCAAAAAACAAACATCACACTTTGAAAAAAAGTTCAGGCCTACTATTTCATTTGGGCTCTCAGACTCGCCTGTATTTAGACTCACCATCCATCGAGTGGACCGTTTCAAATGCCACAATCTTGGGGACCGCGGGGTCAGACCTCTGCAGCAGTTCCCTGAGATGGTGCACGTCATTGTGGCGGAAGATGTACTTTGGCACTCGGCTGTTTCGAATCCCTTGGATCATGGAGGCATGGTTCCCAGAATCGGAGTAAATCTCGCAGCCTAACACACACACACACACACACACAAATACTATCTATTGCCATTTCTCGCAGAGAAGTTATTTCCTAGATAGGGACAACAGACTTCCCAGAAATGATGCCCTGAAAATGCCTTGCAGGAGAAAGACGCTGCATGCCAGTTTCCTCCTGGCAGACTAGCTAATGCTTCTTTGAGAAGGCCCAAAGGTGTAATATAAGCCTTTGGTGGGAAATTGGTCTGCTTTATTTAAAATAATTATTTATTTTTATTTATTATTATTATATTTAATTCACCGGGGTGGGAGGGATGAGAAAACAAGCTGCCAGGTCTGAGACTCAAACCATGGTTGGTCATGTGGGAGTCCAGTGCCCTAACCACCATGCCACCTGCTGCCCAATTGATCTGCTTATTAATCTGGCTGCCTTGCTCCAAACTCAATCAAGAGACAACTGAAAATAATGAAGACGATGCTCCAAAGGGCTTTCTTAGACTATGAAGCACATTCAAAGCACTTGGCATAAGGTCGAGGCCTCTCAAGTCTGAATCCTCATTGCTATCACGTCCCACAGTGACTCAGAACGTGCAGTTAGTACTTCATGCTAGATGCAAAAGCAAAGGATTCCAGGTCTACGGGGCTGTACTTTTTTTTTTTTGGAGAGGTTTTTGCTATAGGACGTGTACACTCGCCAGAAAGACAGAGAGAGACAGAGAGACAGAAACGCCAAACTAAGGCCCCCACGCCAGGCTTCCTTACCTGGCATCATCTTGGCCAGGGTGAAGAGCGTTGAGTCATTGGCCACAAAGCACGAGGAAAACAAGAGGGCTGCATCTTTTCCGTGGAGGTCGGCCAGCTCCTGCTCCAGGTCCACATGGAATTTACTAGTTCCAGAAATATTTCTAGTGCCACCAGCGCCCGCACCATGTTGTTTCAAAGTGTCCCTAAAAAAAAAAAAAGAAAGAAAGAAAAGAAAAGAAACGTCAAGGTTCTAAAACTCCGCGAACTCTTCTCTCCAGAATATAGCGGACTGAAATGTATGTCGATTGACCAACTCTCCTCACTGTGACACTCAGGGCCACAAACATCAGCTGACATCATCTGCAGAAGAGGTGGCAGAAGTGTCAACACTATGGTGATAGCTCCTCTAGGGATCGTTAAGGACAAATAGTCACTTAACAGTCACTAAGTACTTGGTGTTAGCCGAGTTACTTTACTAAGGGTTCTTTCCTCTAAGAAAAAGGAAACTCTAGAGGGACATCTGGGATGGTGGTTGTAAAACCGTCAGCCAACCAGTCGGAAAATGCTAGGATATACACCGATCAGTAACCTTGGATGGGGCCTTTGGGGAGCTTCTTGGAGTTTGGCAAGTTACCCTCTCTGCGTTCTCTAGACACGGTGGTCCTCCTAAAAGACATGAACAATGGGATCTACCATCATTTTTGGTGTGTGTGTGTGTTTTCTTTGGATAGGGTCTTGCTATGTCACAATCCCCCTGCCTCGGTCTAAGTCACTAGGACCAAAGACACACACTATCCCACCCAAGTTTACTCGTTTTTAAGGTAGGTCAGGAATGGAACTTGGGCCTCCCATGTGGCTTCAGCCCACTGAAAAGTAGAGCCCCCAGCACACACTGAACGTGGTTCTCACATTTTATTTATTTATTTATTTTTATTCATCTATTTACTTATTTTAGTTTGATTAGGAAGAGACAGGGAGGGGGGCAGAGAGAGAGAGAGAAGAGAGAAAGAGAGAGAGAGAAAGAGAAAGGTCCTATATTCAGAACACAGTCAGCCATGTGGGAGTCCAGCACCTTAACCACCATGCCACCTACTGGCCCCTAGCGTGTATTTTTGAAGCAGCTTTTCTGCAGTGCTGCCAGACTTATATTTATCTGCCTGCAGCCATAACCAAGGGTCTTTGTAAAGACTGCCTGATGTCAAAGGCACACCCCCTCGTGCAGTAGCAGGAGGGGAACTGACATGCACAGTCAACAGGCCCAAAGCTTGAGCCCTCACATGCTAAGGGGCTCTACCAGCTCCCTGCACATCGGAGCTTCTTTACAAAGCAACCGTAATCTGTAGATACTGCTGAAGGTTAAGAATAGCATTTTGCTGGGCATACTTTCAGCCACTGAATATTCTCCCCATAAAAGATCCAACCCCCATAAATCATCAATTTCTTGCCGAATAAGGCTGGCAGTGTTTCAAAACTGGGGGTTACTTACATAACTGCCCCACACACCCGGGGGTGGCGACTCATTCCTAGGTAGTCGTTACTGCACCAGACCGACACCTGCTTTTTGGTGATGAGGGAGTCCGAGTAGTCATCTGCCATGGGGAAGACGTGCGCCCTCCGATTCACGGTTTTGAAAACTCGGTAGGTGTGGTCATTTTTTTTCTCATCGATTTTCTTCTCAAAGAAACGATCATACTGAAAAGTGGAGACAGCTAAAAAACAAACAAAACACAGTACAGTCTGATGGTTATGAAGTACACTTGGCTTTCGGTCAAAGACAGACCTGAGGTCAGATCCCAACATAGCCGCATAGTAGCAGGGAGATTCTGGGTGAGCTATTTGACGTCCCCCCTCTTGTGAGCAGTCAAGTGTGTGGTGCAGATAGCATGGAGGGAGAGGCAGGCCATCAGCAGCAGCTATCATCACTGTGATCGAGAGCACCAAGTCACTCCATCAAGGGACATGGCTTTCACTCTCGACTCACCGTGCGACTTTGAGTTCTAACCTCTCTGTTGTCAGGCTCACTTACATTTTGGCAAGTTATCTTGAAGCAGATGGGACACTCT